TTATTATTATTATTATTATTATTATTATTATTATTATTATTATTATTTGAGGCATTTTTAATGGTGAGAGAGAAAATATCATCTGTATGTTGAGTATCAATGTGACAGTATTGTTGACATCTTTTGTTTTTAAATTATACTTTCTGTGCAATGTAGATTCTTAGTTGTGGTGAGTTGTTGCCCTAAAAACCTACTTATTTAAGACATTTATGCATATGTGTGGTTTTCCTTTCTTTCCTTCTTTTTTAAGAAAAGCAAAAGTCAATGCAAGTAATTTCAAAACCTCAGCGTGCTAAAGAGTGCATTTACTGTACAATAACAGTTCTTCTGCCTTGGTTGTGTAATGCACACTGCATTACTTTGAATTCCTGTTGGTTTTGCTATTCTAGAGACTGCTGCTGCTTGCACGCTGTGATACATTTGCACTGTTGTAGATACATGTAAACATTGTCTTTTTTCCAGGTGGCTTATTTATCTTTTATAGTTCTGATGATAATAACTACTGAACTATGAGTACTTTGATTCATGTATTAGAAGATTTAGGATGTTGGGCATTCTAATTCTGTATTTTGCATAAACTAACAAAATGCTTTGTATATTTCTGATTGTATAGTTGATTTCTTCTAGAATATTTGTATGTGCATTATTTTCCAGGTTAGAGCTCGTTTTCTGAAAATGGAGAACCCTTATGATAACGCAACAAAGGAATAATTAAATAAAAGCATTGATATTTTCCAATTGCTGTCTTTGTCCTGTTTCAGTGAGACCCTCAGTTTTCAGCTTTAGAAGTTTTCTTTATCCCAGTATTGAATATGGAGCCCTTTTAAAATTTTTATTTTATCTCTTCTTCATCTTTTCCTCTATGCTTCCTGTTTTTGCCTCTTATTTCTTCCTTCCTTTAGAATTCATGAGTCATATAAGCCAATGAAAACAAAATGTGAATTCTAAATCATCCAATAAATGTAAGTTGGCCAGTAGGCAAAAAGCAGTTGTCTGTTTAGGATATTTTTTAGAATATAGTCAGGTTTGTACACTAGAGGGTGCTGCATTCTTCAATAAACAATGAAATTAAGTCTTGCTCAAATTAAATTTTCCTTATAACATTTCTCTATAGTGTATTCTGCTTCCATGTTTCTGTATTTTCAGGGGAGAAAAGAGATTAGAACTCTACTTTTTATTTAAAAAATACTTTAAAAATACATAAAATGTGTACATTTTTATTTAGGTTACACTGTGTTTAGTGAAATTCAAGGGGATTTTTAAATGAAAATGTAGCTAAAGTGATTGACAATAAAACATTGGGAATATGCAATAGGTTTTTGCTACAAACGCCTCTAAAAGTTTTCATAGATCCTCCTCATGTTACCTGGGTAAAGCTATCCCTTGTATGTATGTATGTACATACATACATACACATATACATATTGGCTAAAATCTTGCGTGTAGATGTGTGCCAGTGGTGGGATTCAAATTTGTTTACTACTAGTTCTGTGGGCTTGGCTTGGTGGGCATGTCATGGCTTGGTGGGTGTGGCTTGGTAGGCATGGCAGGGGAAGGTTACTGGAAAATCCCATTCCCTCCCCACCCCACTAACCTGCTTTCCAGTTCTGTGTGCAGGGCAACAAAAGAAGACCTAGCTGATCAGCTGGGACTTGGGAGGCAGAGAATAGATGGGTGTGGGGCCAGTCAGAGGTGGTATTCACTGGTTCTCTGAACTACTCAAAATTTCCGCTACCGGTTCTCCAGAACTGGTCAGAAACTGCTGAATAACACCTCTGATATGTACATATACGTATATAGCAATAGAACTTAGACTTATATACCGCTTTACAGTGCTTTACAGCCCTCTCTTAAGTAATTTACAGAGTCAGCCTATTGCCCCCAACAATCTGGCTCCTCATTTTACCAACCTCAGAGGGATGGAAGGCTGACTCAACTTTCAACTGGTTAGGACTGAACTTCTGGAGTCAGCAGTAATTTAGCCTGCTAAATTCTAACCACTGTGCCACCATGCACAGTCCTAACCACTGTGCCACCATGGCTCATGTATCTGTGTCTATGTATATGTTTATGTATCTGGGTAGCACATGAACAACCTTGTCTAGGGTTGGAATCTAACCGGGGTGAACTTAAATAATACCTTTGGTATGAGAGTTCTAGGGCTTACCAGTACCATAGGCCCTTTTTCTTAACCATATACTGTGCCAACTTTTAAAGATTATTGACAATGTTTAGTGATTCCTACCTCTTCATAAAAATATAATTGCTAGGATTTCAGAGAGAAAATAGCTCATATTAATTCCATTGTTGCAGCAGATCCTGCTTCCAAATCAGGACACAAGACCACGAAAGGTTGAAGAATACAGGTTTATTGGTGCACAAGGTTCAGAGCATTAACATGGCAAGTTCTGAACCGCTGGCTCTTCCTGAGGTGTCACTTTTACACATTTCATGACCTCAGGCTAGCCCGGGGTGTTTCTCTTATTAAACTATACCATAAAAGGAAAATAACATGTATACCAGAAAAGGAGAAGTACATTTAATTATTCATTTTATCTTACACGATCTGCTATTTTCTATATCCACCCTTGTTTACTGGAACATGGCTAGTTCCTTGGTTCAGTAACTTTGTGGTTTTGCACAATATTGTATTAAGCAAAGCTTGGGGGCTTGGGGACTTCTGCTAAATGTAAAAATACTTCATTTGTAATTTTCCACTGCTTCGTTCCCCCCTTTGAAACTACACTCAAATCCACTGATTACTGTGGAGTTTCACACATGGAGAAATGATCGTCAATTGTATTCAATTTCTTGTATTCCCATAAAGCCATAGCCTTGGCAGTAGCCTTCTTCTCTACTAGCATAGAAAGACTATTGCAGATTGTTCTGACAAAGATGGGGAGGATACATGGTAGAATTACACATCCTGCATACCAACTAGTGCAACTATGGCTTGAAGACCAGGCAGCTTAGGAAACCAAGAACCAAAAATGTCACCCGTTCCATTTCTGGACAGGTACATGTGCGAGATTCTCTATGCATCTAGCGTGCTGCTCGATGATTTCACCGACATCATCAAATTCTAGGCAACAATTTCCCCTATGGAGGGCCCAGTTCCTTGTGTATTAGCTAAGCACCACTGAGCTACAATGGGATTAGTCAACTCCCATCTGGAAAGTGGTTGGTGTTTTGGCATTGCCGTTAGGTTGTACGTGACCGAATAATTCCATTCTTGTGCCACCCACGGCCACTGGTCCCCAATTTTAGTACCCCCCCCCTTTGAGACTTTATTTAACAATTAAGTCTTAACTTTATGATGTCTTAGATTAGCCCTTGTGCATATAACGTTAGGCATGACAAGATGAATGCTTTTGCAAAAGTAGGCAATTACAAATCCTTCTCAGATGAGTCAAAGTTGAAAAACTGAAGAACTTTCTTTAAATAATACAATTTATAGTTTGTTTCTCTTTTGAAGCATATTTGTGGTTGAGGTATTCTATAGAGATAGGGAAGTTTGACCACACTGAACAGGAAAGTCTTAGCTAGGCAACTGAGCAAGAAACATGTTGTGGTTTCTTCAACTCAGATAAGCACTTTAAACATATCAGGGTTTAAAATATGGGACCCTCTAGGTCATCTATTCCAACCCCCTTTTTGATACATAAAATCCTTTAAAAGAATTCAAAAGAATATTGTCGCCAGAACAGGGTAGTCTCGGGAAATCCCTCGGATTCAAAGGACCGATGGCACCTGGGATGTTCCCTTCAACTCACCCAGTCGCTGGCACCTGGGGTGGACCCTTCAGCAGGCCTCAGGGCCCCTTGCATCCTGCCGCGGTCGCTATAAATGTTGCAGCAGATCCTGCTTCCAAATCAGGACACAAGACCACGAAAGGTTGGAGAATACAGGTTTATTTGTGCACAAGGTTCAGAGCATTAACATGGCAAATTCTGAACCCCTGGCTCTTCCTGAGGCATCACTTTTATACATTTCATGACCTCAGACTAGCCCGGGGCATTTCTCTTATTAAACTATACCATAAAAGGAAAATAACATGTATACCAGAAAAGGAGAAGTACATTTAATTATTCATTTTATCTTACACCATCTGCTATTTTCTATATCCACCCTTGTTTACTGGAGCATGGCTAGTTCCTTGGCTCAGTAACTTTGTAGTTTTGCACAATATTGTATTAAGCAAAGCTTGGGGGCTTGGGGACTTCTGCTAAATGTAAAAATACTTTATTTGTAATTTTCCACTGCTTCACCATTAGTTTTATTCATTGTATCCCCCAAACTTTACAGATTCCAGATGTGTGGATTCTAATTTCCCCAAATTTACAACAATGTTTATACTGGCTGGGAATTCTTGGAATTGAAATCCATGTAACTAAAAGTTGCCAAGGTTTCTTGACATGATTGCTGCCCTACTAATGGGTTGCTCTGACTATTTCTGGAAAAGGAAAGAGGTCTTCCTATAGCTTCTTTAACGTGCTACTCTACCAAAGCTCAAAGTTTGGGCTAACCAGTGCAATGCCCACCAAATAATGCACTAGGCTTGAGGAACAAATATAATTAACTTAGAATATTTGTAGTTAATACAACACTGCTGTGTTTCTATGGACTCTGATTTGAAGTGTTAATATATATTTACTTTTTGGGAAAACAACAGGATTTGTAGAACAAAACAATACAAAGTAATATGAAAAATGACATAGATTTATTAGTGATGGATGTTCAAGGGTTGTATTTGACAGAACAATAGACTGGAAAAATCACATTTGTGTTAAAATATTCTGTTTAATTTTTAAGATAAACCTCACATGTTTTCAAAGACCAACATTTATTTTAGCAGAAGAGAGCATATGTAAGTCTACAGATTCAAAAATAACATAGTTTTAATTCCTCAGGAGCTCTAGAAGAAGGAGACAGATTCTGGAATCCCATTTATGTTAGATGACACATTCTGGAAACAAAATACAATTAAAAACAATTAGTGCTATCATCAAATTACAGTGCCAAATATTCCCATTATAGTATAGGCCTACTGACCTCAACTAGATATCTGAAATGGGGAAAGTAGGTTTGTTTTTGTTTGTTTGTTTGTTTGATTATATTTCATGTTTCTAGACCTGCCATCCAAGGGGCTTAATGATAAAGTAGAACATTTACTACACTACTACTAAATACTAAACTACTACTAAAGATCGGAAAACAGTTAAGAGAAATAATAAAATGCAAATCATCATGGAAAGATTGTAGGTAGTATGCTATCTGTTGCAAAGAATGCATGTTTGTCAAAACAAGCACAAAAAACTATCTATAAAACCCAGCCAAAGCCGGGCATCCTCAAGGGAGTCAAAAACATCAAAATTGTGTCCATAAGTGGGCTTTATCTCTTTGTAATGTGCATTGCATGGGGCAGAACAAAAAGGAATCAAGAACCAACAGTTTACTGAGTGAAGGTAAACTAATACAGGATTGAGTGACACTACAAAATGAATACTTTGAGATAGTTTGGTCATATAAATAAAAGTTAATTGCCACAGAGATAATTAAGGAATGCTGAATAAGTTTGAAATGCAGGGAGTGACTCATGACTCAAGGGAGTCATGATTAAGTGGAGCTGAAATCCTGAAAAATGTGAAAGTTTAAAAAACAAAAGGCGATGGGTAAAACAGTTCATAGTTGTGACAGAAACAAACATGGTTTATATAGTCGGTGTTGGTGAAAAGTACTTTTGCTATCTTTTTGCCCCTCTTTTTTAAAAATTCTTCTGAATTTTTTTTTCTTTTGGCTTCTTATTTCTTCATCCTTTTCTGCAGATTGTATGATGCTACTCTCTCCAAAGTAAATGAGTGGCCGATGTGTTTTGTTGCTGCCTTTGCTGCTGCTGATAATGTTGTTGCTATAGAAGGATAGACCTGAAATCTGTAGCTCTTTCTATAATGTGTGTGGAATGAGTTGATGCAGAATAAGTCCTTGGTTCACATATGTATTTGGGGGTTTATTTTAAAATAAACAAAATGTGCTACAAATAGGGCTTTGGCCCCAAATTCCAGAGGTTGGAAGCTTTAGGGGCAGCAAAATTGAGGCTTGGGACTCTGCAACTTGTAGGTCATGGAATCCTACTTTTGCTCCCTTTGTGTTAGCTTAATTAACTGATTTCAGCCATTCCATATGTTTTCTCTAGATTTAAGAATGATGTTTCTTTCTGAGAATTAGAATTGGTGAAAGGATGGGCATGTATTTATATTCCCGGAGAATTTGTATTATGTCACCAATTGGCAAATTATTCTGATGTTGTTGGTACTGAAATGTTGAAGAACATTGGTATTGTAAGCAACTCTGTAAGGGAGAGGGGCTGTTCCTTAATATGATAAATAAATATAAATAAATAAATAAAGGTAGTTCATACATGAGTCAGACAAAAAGACAGAACTGATGAAGAATAGCAGGTTTAAAAAGGTATATATTTAGATATGTCTAAACAGATGAAAATCTTTTAAAACAACAGTTGCCTAAATTATCTCAAACCCAGAGACAACTTATGAATGACCAATAAATGCCTTTGCAATGTCCGGAGGTATTAAAAAATGAAATCAAGTAAAGCTCCAGGCCCAGATGACCTTACGAGCCAATATTATAAGTCCTTTGAGGGTGAACTTTTTCAACCATTAAAAGATATAATGAATAATATATTACAGGGGGAAAGATACCTCAAACATAGAAATAAGCCAATATTGTGTTGTTACCAAAGGAGGGTCAAGATGTTACAAAGACAAAAAATTACAGACCAATTTCATTATTAAACAGGGACTATAAATTCTTTGCTGCAGTTTTGACAGAAAGACTAAAGAAGATCTTACAAGCATATATACATGAAGACCAATTGGGCTTTCTGCCAAAAAGACAGCTAAGAGATAATGGGAGGACTGTTTTGAATATTATTGAATATTTACAATACCACAACAAGAAACAGATAGCTCTAATATTCTTAGATGCAGAAAGGCCTCTGACAATCCCAATTGGGCTTTTTATGTTTAAAGTGCTGAAATTTAGAGATAATTTTATTCAAGGAGTCAAAATTTGTCATTAATGGTGACTTAATTAACTCATGTGAAATTTAAAAGAGTATGAGACTAGGATGCCCCTTGTCTCCTCTATTATTTATATTGGTGTTGGAAGTTTTGAGTAAAAATATTAGGCAAGATGAGAAAATAATATGTATAAGCATCAAGAAAGAAGCTTATAATTTGAGGGCATTTGTTAATTGTCTTGCAAGATCCAAAAAAATAACATAGAACATTTAATAAGGAAATTAAAATGAGTTTGGGGCTTTAGCAGGTGTTCAAATAAACAAACAGAAAGCAATGTTGATTAAGAACATGTCATCTCAGTACAGTGATATATTGAGTAAAAAGTTGGGTTTTAAGGTCAATAAAAAGGTGAAATACTTGTGGGTTATGTTGACAAAGACAAATATAAAACTGTTCAAAATAATTATGTGCCACTTTGGAATGATATTAAAAAGGACTTACAAAGATGGGACAAATTGGATTGATCACTATTGGGTAGAATTTCTGTAATTAAAATGAATACCTTACCAAAAATGCTCTTTCTGTTTCAGACATTACCAAAACTTGCAACTGATATTCCTTTTAAACAATGGCAGAGGGATATTTCCAAGTTTATATAGCAAGAGGAAAAACCAAGAATTAGATATAAACTATTGCAAGAGAGGGTTTGAGTTTACCAGATTTGAAACTGTATTTTGAGACATGTTGTCTGGTCTAGCTAAAAGAGTGGGTGAACATCCAGAATAAGAGGCTACTTGATTTAGAAGGTCATGAATTAAGGTTTGAATGGCACAGTTATTTATGTTATGACAAAGTTAAAGTTAATGTTGATTTCAATGATCACTTTGGTAGATGTGTCATACTAAGAGTTTGGAATAAATATAAAATGAGTTTTTGTATGAAGTTGCCTCTTTGGGTGTCCCCCCAGGAAGCTTTTTTAAGAAAAGAAATGGTGGCAAGGCTAGGCTGGTGGACCTATGGTAAAAAAAATACCTTTCAATTCTGGTGATCTTACCCTCAAGTTGAGGAAAGAGAATTAGAAGGCCGTGTTTGCCATTGGTGCACATACCAAGAACTGAAAGAAAGATTTCAACTAGATAAAAAGAGTTATGGATTTGACTTTGTTAAAAATGAATTGGAAATCTTATTGTGTGGTAGTGATGAACATATTATTACTGAGGTTTATAAAACATTGAAACTGAATTTGGAAAGTGAATATTTAAAATATTGTATGACTCAGTAGGCAAGGAACTTTGGATATAATGTGATACTCGAACGATGGGAGTATATGTTGACAAAAGGTTTAAAATTCACACTAAACTATAATTTAAAAGAAACATTTTGTAAGATGAAGTATTGTTGGTATTTAACACCAGTCAAGTTATCTAGAAAGTATAAAGATATTTCAAATGAATGTTGGAAATGTAAATATAAAGAAGGGACCTTTTACCATGTATGGTAGACATGTGATAAGGCAAAGAAATATTGAAGTAGGATTTATAATATAGAAAATTCTTAAGAGTAGAGATAAAATTGAAACCAGATTTTTTATTTTATTTTTTTTGAAAAAGACTTTGGGAGAAAATTGGAATTCTGAACTTACATATGTTGACAACAGCAAGACAAAAATGGAAAACATTTCGATTCCCACCATGGATGAATCGCTACAGAAGCTGATGGAGCTTGGCTAAATTGACCATTTTGATCAAAGAAAAGTATATAAGTACTTTTGTTTCTACTTGGAGACAGCTTCTGGACTTTGTGCTTGAAGTGGAAAAAAATGAAACTTTGACTTTGGCTTTTACTGATTAGATTGAGTTGTTATTATAGAAATGGCTGGGGTATACTATTATGGAAAAGTGAAAAGTTGATGTTTGATGTTTATGCCTTATTCTACTGCAACAGAGGGAGTCAGAAGTCAACACCTTTCCCCCCCCCCCTCTTCCTTGCCCTCCCCTTTGGGTCCTACTATTTGCTTTTGTGTTTTATATTTTATTCTATAAACTAATAAAAAAATTGATCCGGAAATAAAAAGAGAAAGAGAGAGATGTAAAAACTGCATCTAAACCACATAATTAGAGTGACAAATATATATATATACACTCATGAAACTGCAAATCCATCCATTTCAATCCAATTAGCCTTTTGTTGGTAGATTAAAAGAGTATTTGGTTTGGTTTAAATTTCTCATATTTAGATTTGGTTTTGAAATCATTAGGAGTTTGGTCAGAGTTAAGTCTCTAACTACCCTTTCATTAAAAGATAGGAATAGCTGTGTGTCTCCCATTTTCTTTTCATCAGCTTTCTCAATAAATACTCAAGAATTGCATTCAAATGTACTTGTCCATGTATGTTCTTGTGTGCACACATCCTAGAAGCATACACCAAAATCTAGAATGGGGAGGTTGAAGTTGAGGTTGTTATATGCTTGTGATGAATAGCTGACCATGAACAGAATCTGCAGTTGTCCTTGAGCCATATTATACAGGTCACTGAGTTCAAGTTCAGTTAAGCACATACTTATTATGTTTAATCCTTGAAAATCAATAGATGCTGACAGTGGCTTGCAAAATAATATGGATTCTGCTTGCAGCAACACTTGGTTTTATTAAGAGCAAGATTTACTGTAGAATAATATTGTATTAAATGGTTTAGTGTTTGTTGCTGTAAGAGCTGGATTTCTGTAGAATTTTTCAGAATGTACAAATGATCCCTATTAAATTTTTCAATTTGTTTTTCTGGTTAATTATAGTATTTTGTGAAAGTGAACAACCTAGAACTTATGTACATACATACATACTGCTTCAACATCATTCATGTTAATTTATATTACTTCATAACTATGCCAAATGACACATTTAGAAGAAAATTAGTCAGGCCAATTCAGATTGACAGACACCCCTTTTCCCCAACAGTCCATTAAATCATGGGTTGATTCCATGTCAATTTCTATTTTACTTTTCTTGCTAGATTATAATGTTTCTAATTATGGTTTTTTGAATTTGAGGAGTGATAGCAGAGGTCTGTGACAATTCGCCACAGCCAACTCATCACAGCCAATTTGCCATGGCTAATTTACCACAGGGCAAGAGTTACACTAATGGTGGAATAGAAGCATTAAAGAAAGAATGGAAAAGGAGGGACAAAAATGAAATGTGAATGACAAAAATTAAAATAAATTTTAAATTATTTTAAATAATTAAATTGAATTGTTGGGTTGTATTGTGGTATGCTGTCCTATGGTGAGTTGTCCATGGCAAGTTATCCCTTGGTGAGTTAGCAGAGCACGTTGGCCAAGGTAAGTTGACCGCAACATGTTCTCTCATTCCAGATGGTAGGAATCTTAGTATTGGTAGACTAGTTGCATTTATATGATTATGAGAATCACTTTGTGAAGACTTTTCCTTAACCAGTAACATCGATCAGAATCAATACCTGCATTCTCTTGTGGAAAGAAACACCAGATGACTCCAACAGTACTTGAATCAAAACAGCATCCTCTATTGTAGCATTCCTGAGCACTGATGTAGGGGTATCCACAATTCACTCTGGCATTTGGTTGCACTTGGCATTGTCCTGGAACTGTTAAATACAGCCTAAATTAATCCAGTAGTTTAATGTATTTCAGAAAGGTAAAGCAATTAGAGCATTTGATTTGTGAAAAAGATTCTATGCTCAAGTCTGAATGCTAAATATTCTTAAAAACAGGTAAGGAATATAAATCCTTCCATTCCCCACTATCTTGTCAGAACTGAAAAAGTTTCTTGGATAAGAAGCAAAGCGTCTTCAAAGCAAAAAAAGAAAAAAGTCCAGTTGCCTCTTGAAAAAGCACCTTTGAGTTAAAAACAGATTAATCAGGTCTAAAGTTGTCCTTAGATATGTAGATGCTTTAAACAGGGCAGAAAATGCAACCCCTTCCCTCAGATTCAAGGTACTATAAATCAGTCAAGAAGTTTGGCCGTCTGAGGGAGAACTTCTGTAAAAATATTGTAACCAAGATTATGTACTAGGAATCACAGGAAGATTCTACCTTCACATGTTATCAAATGCTAACAAATTTAATATTTGTGACAAAGGGCTGCTGCAGAAAGTGTAGAATAGGCAGCTTTTACATAAACTGAATAATTCCCAGTAAACATTTTTAAGAAGTTCCACTCACGTAATTTCAGGTAAAACCCATTAGCCAGGCTGCTGGATCCTAAGAAAAGGACCATCACCAGTAACCAGAACTTCTGTTCCATGGCAGCTTGCTTTCCTCTGTCAGGAAGCTTTAGTGTTCCACAAGAAATTAACTATGCAAGGTCTAGGCAAAAGATTTGCTGAAAATAATTTTTATACTAGCCTGTTTGTTCAATCTCTTTAGGTAATGTTTGTCTTTGGAGGGCTTTTTATGTCCTCATATCTCCACCTTTGATTTAATACAAGATTTCTCTGTATACCCAGATATAGTATCAAAATGTGCTAACAATGGATTGTATTATGTAGCAAGACACATCCCCTCTCTTCTCATGGTAAATGCATGAATAATATTCTTTCTTATCTGATGAGCTTGTGCTCTTTTTGGATCTTTTGAAAGGACTTGAGTAACCTTTGCCAAAGGCTGAAAATTTCACTTAATCATTCAAAATATTGCATAGCCCAGCTATTTTCTCTTGACCCTATCTATTTCCTTTGATCTTGTCAATGTCTTGAATTTAGTCATCGGCATCTCATTGGACTGCATATCATTCTGGGCTCCCCCCAATGTAAGCCACCTTTCCTTACTGAGATATAAACCAAAGTTGTTATTCTCCATTATTAGTACTTATGTCTTTCTTTAATTAAACTAAAGCAAGTCTAATTTTGTTCTAGCTGGGATTATTTGATGAGATAGTAATGAACACAGTCTAAATTATGTGCATTTATACTTAGGGGAAATATTTCAGGTGGTGTAATAAGTGGCAAATACTGTATATTGGGGGTATTTAGCACAAGCAAAATGGCAGTTGATGATTCACTATGATTAATTAATTGGCAAAAGGTGGAGCTGAAATTATTGCAAGGTTCTTCCTGGTCATTATTTGAAGGGAACATTCCCTTGGCATCCAGAGCTAAAGGCTGCACTATGAAATAATAATTTAAAAAATTTCCAGATGAAAGCAGTAATAAATATTTTTTGTCATACTTCCAAGAAAATTGCATCAATCCAGACACGTTTAATTTAGTTACTTTATTGTAATTGTACCTCATACAACTAAATTAAGTGCCATCTTCTGTGTACATTATAACTATAAAAAAACCCACAAATACACATCCAGCTCATTCTATACAACTAAATTGAAAACCCCTATTACTGCATTAATATTGCACTATACAGTAGAATTCAATATAGTTATTGCTCTGGGATAGAAGCTGTTTTTCAACCTATTTGTCCTTATTTTTATTATGCTATACTATCTGCCAGATGGTAATAGTTCAAAAAAAGGGTTCTATCATCTCTCTTTCTCAAGGAGCGCTCGCAGAAGCAGCGCGGGAAACTTTGGGCGGGTTCTTGAGAGATGAGAGTGACTCCGGCTGCCTCTCTCCACGAGCGCTTCTTGAGAGAGAGAGATGATTTTGCAGGTAGCTTGGCTGTCCCTGGGAGTCAAAGCACTGAAGCACAAGATGTGCAGGAAATTTTGGCCAGGCTCCTTGAGCGAAGGCAGAATGCTGAAGACGCGCAAATGCAAGTACCTTCCAGCCATCTCCATCACTGCTTCGGCCCACCTGTGCCGCCACCCCCCTTCTTGCTGCAACAGCACTATTACCTCAGCCTGGCCGGCAAGGGCTGCGCTGCTTTTTGCACGTTGTACCACCTGCAAATTTGCATATTACATATGCCACCCCCATGGCAGAGATTTCCAACTCCACCACGGGCCAGTCCCATATTCCAGAGCTGCAGTAGTCACAAGACTGGCCCTTTGGTCATCCCAGAGCAGCTCCTCCAGTCCATGTCAGGCTGGTTCATCCGGGAGGAGGAGCAGCTGCTCCGCAGCGATCAAAGGGCCAGTCTTGTGACTACTGCAGTTCTGGAATATGGGATTGACTTTCCCACCATTGTCAGCAAGCCACACTGGGGTGGATTTCCCTCTCACGCCATTGGTCCAGCTCGTGTGGCTCTACTCAAGGTTAGAGGCCAGAGGGTGGCCGGGCCATGTGGCCAGCACAGCCTTGTATTCCCGTGCAGCCTGGATTAATTGCTTTGGGGGGGTGCTTTGGGGGGCACATTTCTCTGCAGTCCACCAAAAATTTTTTGTAGACCACCAGTGGTTCATGGTCCACTGGCTGGCAACTCTATGCTGTATGGTGCAGTGGTAGAAGATCACCAGCAGTTTTTCATTCGGTTGTTGTTTCCTGAGAAGCCTCAGGTAGTATAATCTCTGCTAGGCCCTTTTGACCCGTGCTGCAATGTGAGCATCCCAGATCAGATCCTCTTTCATGGTAACACCCAGAAACTTAACACTGGCCACTTGCTCCACTCAGTCTCCATTGATAAGCAAGGGCTGGATGTCTGATCTGTTCCTTCTATAACACACTATAAGCTCCTTGGTCTTATTGGTGTTAAGAACCAAGCTGTTGTCTCTACCACGAAAGCAACCGGTCCATCTCATCTCAGTAGGCAGACTCATCCCCCCCCCACCAGAGATGTCCCACCACTGTTGTATAATCTGCACATTTAATAATAGTTTAGCAGGAGTGAGAATGCAGTCATGCACATAAAGAATATAGAGTAAGAGACTAAACATGCAACCCTGTGGTGTACCAGTGTTAAGAATGAGGGCTGAAGAGATACGATTACCTAATCTAACCCTCTGAGAGCAGCCAGACAAGAAATCCATAATTCAAAGTCAGACTGAACAAGAAAGCCCAGGATCCATAAGTTTAGACACTAGTCTATGTGGAAGAATTGTGTTAAATGCAGAGCTAAAATCTCACATAGCCTCCCCACTGTTCCAAATGAATCAGAGCAGTGTGAAGAGTGATGGTTATATCCAGGGGTGGGATTCAAAAATCCCAACAACCGGTTCACTGCCTGGTTGCTGGGTGGGCGTGGCCTTGGTGGGCATAGCCTACCAGAATTTCCAGGAGGGCCATTTTTCACCTTCCCCAGGATCCAGAGCAGAGGCGGTATTCAGCAGGTTCTGACCAGTTCTGGAGAACTGGTAGCGGAAATTTTGAGTAGTTCAGAGAACCAGCAAATGCCATCTCTGACTGGAGATTTTACAGTATCCTTCCCCTGCCACGCCCACCAAGCCACATCCACAGAACCGGTAGTAAAAGAATTTGAATCCCACCACTGATCCAGAGGCTTCCCTTGGGCCTCTGAGAGGGTGAAAATGGCTTCCTCCAGGCTTCAGAGGGCCTCTGGAAGCTGGAAACAGGCCTGTTTCCAGACTTCTGGAACTTTCATTTCAGCCATTTTCACCTTCCCCAGGGTCCGCAGGCTTCCCTCAGGCTTCTGGGAGGGCAAAAACAGTCTCCCTGAGCTCCGGAGGGCATCCGGAAGCTGGAAACAGGCCCATTTCAGGATTTCCAGAACTTCCGGTTCAGCCATTTTTAGCCTTCTCCTGGGGTCCAGAGAGTCTCCAGAAGCCAGAAACAGGCCCATTTCCGGATTTCCTGAACTTTTGGTTTGCTCGTTTTTTACCTTCCCTAGAGTCCAGAGGCTTCCCTCAGGCCTCTGGAAGTGTGAAAATGCCCTCCCCAGGCTCTGGAGGGCCTCCAGAAGCCGGAAACAGGCCCGTTTCTGGATTTTCGGAACTTCAGGCTTGGCCTGTTTTCGCACTCCCAGAGCCTCTGCACGGACCCTGCACTTACCTGCATCTGAAACGGGCCACGTGGAGACTCCTGGGAGGGGCAGGGTGGGGTAGGTGCAGCCAGCTGGTTGGTTCAACTACCCATTTGGTCAACCAGATGTAAATTTAACATTCGATTCGCCTGAACCGGTCCGAACCGATGGAATCCCACCTCTGCCTATAGCATCCTCTGCAGAACGATTTGTTCCGTATGCAAACGGTGTTTATCAAATGTATGCAGAAGACCAGAAATGATGTGCTGGCAGACCAATTTCTCAAAGCAATTCACAATGATAGGTGTGAGTGCTTCACTGAGGTTATTGATATGGAACCTTTTGGCAGCAGAGCAATGGTGGAAGCCTTCAAATAAGATGAAATATTGCACTGGGATAAAGACCGATTGAAGATTCTGGTAAAGATTCCAGCCAACTGATCAGCACAGTCTTTAAGCACTCGGCCAGACATACCATCAGGACCAGCAGCCTTTCTAGAGTCCACAACCCTCAGAATGCTCCTCACCTCCTGTTCCTCCACAATGAGGTGGGGGCTACAATGGGCTGGTGACTATATTTTAGCTGTCTCTGATGTCTTCAAAGTGAGCAAAGAAATGATTCAGCTCCCCTGCCAATGAAGATCCCTCTCAGCAGGGATGACATTGGTCGGTTGATGGTTGGTAATTGGTTGAATCCCTCACCATACCTGTCTCATGTTATTACTATAAAAATTTTCCTCAATTTTCCTCTTATAATCAGTCTTGGCCTTCCAAATACCTTTCTTCATTCAGACTAGCTCTGGCAACACTGTATCTTGCCCTATCACCGGACCTAAAGGCACTTGAAAAAGGACTCCTGTCTTGGCAGGGTTTGGACTATAAGATCTCTAAGGTCCCTTCCTGGCCTATGTTTCTATCATTCAGATGAGTGCTAGTTGAAAGACAATTGAAAATATATATATAGCTAGTTCCTGTCAGCTGCATGTTTAAAACAACAGATAACAGATAATCAGAGCTGGAAGGGACCTTATAGGTCATTTAGTCCAACCTCCCCCCCCAAGCGGGAGACCCTACACCATTTCTGACAAATGGCAGTCCAATCTCTTCTTGAAGGTCTCAACTGATGGCGCTCCCACAACTTCCGAAGGCAAGCTGTTCCATTGGTTGATTGTTCTCACCATCAGAAAGTTTCTCCTTATTTCCAGGTTAAATCTCTCCTTGTTCAGTTTCCATCCGTTATTCCTTGTCTGGCCTACAGGCATTTTAGAAAAAAGCTTGACCCCTTCCTCCCTGTGGCAGCCCCTCAAATATTGGAAGACCGCTATCATGTCTCCCCTGGTCCTTCTCTTTAATAGACTAGCCAAGCCCAGTTCCTGCAACCGTTCATTGTATGTTTTAGCCTCCAGTCCCCTAATCATCCTGGTTGCTCTTCTCTGTACTTTTTCTAGAGTCTCAACATCTTTTTTATAATGTGGTGACCAAAAAT